TTTCAAGGTATTTGGTATGGTGCGACCAGGAATTGAACCCTGATCTCCCAGTCTCAGGGCAGACACCCTACCACTAGGCCACTGAGCTGGTCTGTTGCTGCTTTTCAGAGGTTCTCCTTAGAAATAATCAGTTGTATAATCAATTATAGTTTAAAACTTTTAAATACACTCAAAGTTGTGGAACACTCATTTAATCAATACATTTGCAGTGGTCTCTGGTAGGAATGAATGCCTTGAAAGTCATACTCTGAGGAAAAAATACACCAGTCCACCATTTTCAGGACTTACAAGTAAGCCACATCACAGCTGAGCTTCAGACGGCAGGTTTTTGAGTCTTATTTGCAGTATATTTGGACATCTCGCCTTGGATTGGATAACGGCAAAGTGACTCTACCACTGTCTCCACAAATAGCACAAGCCAGGAGAAGTTCTGCTGTGTGGTGGAGTTGCTAACGCTAACTGTTAGCAGACAACAACTCAGCTAGTAGAAGCTGTCTCATGAATGCTTAACCAACATCCTGCCAGCTCACTTCAACCAGCACAGTGAAATGAACACTCAGGAAAACCCTTTGAACCTTTTGTCACAGCCTATGTGAAGGTTTTTCATAGGCGTGGGTAATATCTCAATCCTTATTTAGGGCTGTCGCGGTAACCGCAAAAATGAAATATCGCGATATGAAGAAGCCCACCACGCTGCATCATGGGCCACCGCGATTACTGAACTTGGTTCAACTCAATGATGCATGTAGAGAAGGATGGCTGCACTGGTATCAAAACGAAACGTTACTTCGCTCCTTTGGGAGCACTTTGGTTTTCAGTACGTCAGCTGCTGCGCAGCCAGAGTCCTTGGCCGAGACAGAGCAGCCACCAGCGGCAAAAATAAATAAATAATAAACGCTCTGAGACCTCCTGAAGTCCCGGACACTGCTTCTGCAACCGTCCCGAAGAGAGTTTGAACCGAGCTGGAGCTCACTCGCTACCTGCAGGAGGAATGCATCCACCCTAAAGAACCCCCCTGACATGGTGGAGCAACAACCGGGAGAGATTCCCTTTGCTCGCCAGAGTCGCACGCAAGTTGAGTTCGGAAGCGAGCGGGGCCGGACCGGAGCGGAGGAGCGGAGGGGAGCGGAGGTAGTGGAATTTGGGGTTAGAGCAACGAGCGCACCATCTGAGAGGGTTTTCAGTGTTGCTGGAAATGTTGCCACCCCTCTCAGATCCTCTCTCAAACCGTATATGGTTAACATGCTGGTTTTCCTTGTGGGTAACAAGGACGTGACCGAGCTATAAATCACCGTCATTCGTGTGTGTGAAAGTGAAATGATAGTGCGCCCGCCCCCCGGCGAGCGCGCGCCCGGTACATGCAATTTTTTATGCTTGATTTTAAACAACTAAACAAAATGGGGACTTGTTTCTTATTTGTTAGATGCTGCAGCCAAATTTGCATTTAAAAGTTTAACCTTCTCCTGAATTTTGTTGTTTTTAAGTTCAGTCGGACTCCAACTGTCGGACAAACAAACGTTACTGCGATCTGTGTTGTTACTGCCCTTTGATCTGCATTCAGTAAAGCGTTATAAAAGAAGGCACGGCAATTTTTAACCTTTTTTAAATGTGTAAACATTATGTTTAGATAGTACTGCAATAAAAAAAGGACTGCAATAATATCGCATACCGCAATATTAAGCCACCCTGAATCACCGCAGGGGGAATTCCTCAACTGCGACAGCCCTATCCTTATTACAATCCAGTGCAAGCATTTTATCTTCAAAGATTCTGGAGATTTAGTCAGTTAAGTCATGTGCTGTATGGGACAGCAGTAGCTCAGAAGGGAGAGCGGGTTGTCAAGTATTCGGAAGGTTGAAGGTTCAATCCCGCCTCTAACCAGAGAATGCTGCTGTTGTGTCCTTGGGCAAGACACTTAACCAGCCTTGCCTGCTGGGGGTGGTCGGACGGACCGGTGGCGCTAGTGTTTGGCAGCCTCGCCTCTGTCAGTGCGCCCCAGGGCAGCTGTGGCTACATCGTAGCTCATCCCCACCAGCATGTGAATGTGTGTGTGAATGGGTGAATGACTGATTGTGTTAAGCGCCTTGGGGGGTTGCAGAACCCTAAGAAGTGGCTATACAAATACAGGCCATTTCAAGTATTTTTCAAAGAAACAAAAAGGCAACAGAGCAAGAGAGCTCTGGTCAGCTGAGGAACACATTTATACACATATCACAATATCTTTATTAGAGATAAACACACGTAAAATTAATCTTTGTCCTGCAGGCATTTTTCATATTGTTGCATCAAAAACAACCTCACTCAAATCAAATAACAGGAAAGCCCAACCTGAGTACATTGTAACTGACTTTGACTCATGCAGACCCGCTATCGGGTCAGGGTTGTTCAGAGAAGTGTAGAAGTGCGTGTTTGTGCCATTGAGCCAAATAAAAGCAAGCGTCTAGCTTGTGTCGGCGGCGTCTGGGTGACGATATCTCAAGTAGGAGAATCTCACCTCGTTGCCACAACAAAAACACACAAGTTTGTTTGTGGCTCTTCGCTCCATTTACAGATGGAAGGCGACGGCAGCTCAGCGAGATAAAACACACAAAGACTCATTCAGACAGACACAGGCAGGACAAGATGAAGCAGGCCTGATGTGAGCCCCCGAGACAGGAAGCACACCTCCCCCATCCTGCCCCCTTTACACACACCCTTTTCAAATCACCCAACACATCCAGTTCCCTTTGAAAACATGTGTGCCTGATGACGGACGTGGAGACTCTAAAATCACCACACATCACTCTGGGGAGCTCTAGAGTCGACTAACAGATTCTGTCACCTCACTGAGAAAACAGTGTAGGTGGTGCTGGAGGTCTTCAGCACAAACACCCAAAACCTCCTGAAGGAGTTTGATAACTGTCCCTCCTACTCGGTAGAGTCATGTTCGAGCTCGTCTCTCTTATTTCTTGTCTGCTTCTTAACACTAGAAAGGCCATGGCAGTCATTCTGACTGTTTAGCCATTTGTATGTTTAATTACTTCATCAAATTAAAAACATACACCCTTGCCGGTCCCCAAATTTTCCTAAAACAGTGTACAGTTTCATAAAAAATGGATTTCACCATTGTTATTGTGCAAAAGACAGGCTGATATAATCATGTCTAGCTATTTTGATCCGAGACAGTCATTTGGACTACCAGAGAATTTCTTGCTGCTTTTCCCTCTGAATAACTGTCAGGTTATTTGGGGGGGTTTCAACACTATTATTACTGTCTGTGAAGGTTCTCAGTCATCCAGGTCATTGTAGTCTAAGGAGCTTTGAAAGAAAAGCGTCTGGACTTCTTTGAGTTGCTTGAAGACATTTCACCTCTCATCCGAAAGGCTTCTTCAGTTCTAAGGTCAAATAGGAATCTGGGACTCTCCACCATTTAACCTTAGAACTGAAGAAGCCTTTCGGATGAGAGGTGAAACGTCTTCAAGCAACTCAAAGAAGTCCAGACGCTTTTCTTTCAAAGCTCCTTAGACTATTATTATTATTATTATTATTATGATAGTGTTATAATAATAATAACACTGTTATGGGTATCTCAGGAAGCGCTCGTTGTGTTTTCAGCAGAAATATTTAACAAGAAAAGTTGTTTTTATTGTTGGTTATTGGCCAGAATCTGCATGAACATTGTAGAAGTTCAGTGTAACTATACTCATTACCATCCATATAAATTTTAACTGGGTTCAGTTTTTCACTTTAAGGAATTTTGTCAGAAATCATTATAGAAAGTTAAAATTCTCTAAACAGTGAAGCACTGTGACGCATACGTCACTGAAAGACAGCTTACAGGGAAGCTGCTGCTGCTACATTGTGATTAGCTGGATTTTGTTTACTTTCATGCTCTCAATGATTGTGGGAAATTGCTTTTACAGCAGCAGCAAACGGTCTGAGCCATATGTCCCAGCTGTACACACATTTTTTTAACTAACAGGTTTGATCTTAAATTATAACCTACATCTATAACTCCTTCTGGAACTGCTACCGGTCCTTTTAGACGCCTAATGAGTCCCGCTAGCATGACTGCAGCAACACTGCTAATCGCGTTAGGAGTGTAAGGGCAAATGAGTCATTTGGGAAAGCTACGACACACACTCAGATATGATCTAAAAGATGGTCTAAATATTTCAACAATAGATCCTCCTGGGACCAGTAGAACCTCCGTGCCATCCTGGATTAGTGCAAACAGCAAAGAGCTAGCGAGCTACTGCAGCATCCCTGTCAGACAGAAAAAGAGTTACTCTGATAAGCTACCGATTACGTTTTCTGGAGTTATATTAATATATCCAGTGATAAAACTGGCAGCAGGTTCTTTTATTTATCTGTAGATTATTGAATTATATTGGCACAGCCTGGTGCATCAGCAGAGAGAGCATGGTGAGAGTGCTGCAATACCAGAAATGTTACAGAGGCTCATCGGCTCTACTGGGAGTGTCACGTGTTTGAAAATGCCCACAGCTTGAGGGGGGACCCACAGGAGTGTGGTAACTTGTACTTCTGGGCAGGACCAGTTCAGGGTCTTTGTTCTCCATTTCCCCGGTTTGAGATGTGTGAAAAGTGGGCAGAGGTCAGACCTTTTTGCCGAACCCCCCAACTCCAAGAGGCAGCATCTCTCCACAGGAGTTCTTTGGTTGGAGCTAAAGATGAAGAGGACCCCCCCCCCCCCCCCCCCCCCCCCCACAAATCTGTTACACAACTCTTTATCCTCTAATCATCATCAATATCTTGATCTTCCTGCAGAGTTTTAGTCTGACAGCACTCGGGTCATACAGCTGCTTTTGTCTGTAGGAAAATACTTTCTCACATAAAGCACTTTAGAAAACAAAGACAAATTGTTGATTTAGTTTTTTATTTAAATCAAGTTTAAACAAACCAGAATTGTCCCTGGCCTTTTTGTTTCAGCTCCTTTGGTTTCTACTCGGCTGGGAAAACTGTGGGCCAGCTTAATTCATTTTGGATTTCTTTCCTCCTAGGGTTTTTGGTCCCAAAGAACCAGTGAGACCCAAGTAGACCCGATGTGATTTCACCATCAGAACCTTGAGGCCATTGTTTCCTCCTGTTGCACCTTCATCGGAACTTCCCTCTTCTTCAAGCTTCTCCAGCTGGGGACTGAAACATCTTCCCAGTCCGTGTGTTCAGAGGCTCGGTCTGGACCTGCTCTCCAGCTGCAGGATGGCGGCCCTGTCCTGTTTGGTTGTGATAGTTGCTGCTCTTCTGCTACCTCTCAGAACTGATGGTGAGTCTGTTTCTTAACTGGTAACGGATGCATACACACAGTATAATTTCAATTCAGTTTGTTTATAAAGCGCCAAATCATGACTAGAGTCGTCTCGGGGCACTTCACACAGTAAACATTCCAGTACAGTTCAGTTCATTAAGCCAATCAGCAAAAAGAGCATGAGAAAGGTCACCTTCTCCTACCGCCTCAGAGTAGCTGATAAGAGCTGTCACACAGTATCTGGCCCACAACGCAAACAGGTTAGAGCCATCTAATGACTTGCATGGCCTAGTAACCGGGTTAAATCACTTTCTTTGTACAGAATTAAACAAAATGTGTTCTTTAGTTGAAGCGGGCAACCTTTATCATTGGTTTAGTGTTTACTGAGCTCGTCAGGTATGTCACATGTATAAAGGTTATTTATTTATTTATAAACTCTGTCCCTCCTGAGGTCGCCTCAGCCTCTCATGTCATTCACTTTGTGTTTCCGTTTACTGAACAAACGGAGCATCTGTTCATCCCCAAACCGGTGTCACGGCGATTCTTCAGCATTAACTCACTCAACGCAGAAGAGATCTGGTTACACCTTTGTAGCGTCAGCTGTGTACAGTCCAGGCGTGTTGATCAAATGATTTGTAGATAACGCGTACTAGCCAAAGCTCGTTAGCTTTCTCAAACGGATCTGCAAGCTTTGTGCTAAACAATGTTGACTGTGAGGTGTAACATTTTGTTCTTCTGCACAAAGATGTGTCAGATGATCTAAGGTAGTAATATCTACATCCTTAGCTTTTATTTTGTTAGCTTAAATGGTGGAGGCACAGATCTGGGTAGCGGCTGCAGATGGTCCTTCTGCCCTCCAGTGTTGTGTGGATGTGCGCCATTACCCAAATGTAAACAACATTCAAGGGGTCTATACTTTCTTCAGCACCTATCACATGCATTAGCTACAGGAAGGAAACAGAAGGGAAAACGATCAAGTCATGGAAACGCTCTTCTTCGTCACAGGGAAAGTTTGTATTCCTGGCCCTGCCCACTTTGGATTGGGACCGCCCACAGGAAAAAGAGCATAGGGTGTCTCTGCTAGTAGATGCTAACGTTAGCATTAGCAACTCACACTTTGGGTTGTCACGGTGTGAAAATCTAACCTCACGGTTATTGTGACCAAAATTACCACGGTTTTCGGTATTATCGCGGTACTTTTTTAAACGTGCTACATTTTCACACAATTAAATAAACCCTGTATGTCAGAAAATATTGTCCTCAGTTTGTGTCTAAATTTTGCCTAAAATGTGTTATTGTGTAATTATGTTGTTTATTTGTTTACATTTTTTCCCTTTAGTCTTTAAAATACCAATATTTGCCCATAACTTCTTATTTTATGTCTGTTTGATGTCATCATTTTAAAAATATTAGATCAGATGATACTCAGTACTCAAGTAGCCTTCTAATCAGATACAATTTTTTTTACCCTTACTTGAGTAATAAACCCTATATCAGGAAAACATTGTCCTCGGTTTGTGTCCTTCCAGTGAGCTTTGCAGATGTGGGGAAATGTCATCAGGCAGTAATCATTGTTAAATTCATAATTATTCTCGGAGAGACCAACTCTTATCTGCCCCTGGGAGCCCCGTAATGCATGGCATCATTTCAACATGGGGGTGTCCGCGACACGGTTTATATGCAGGTAGCGGCGCTGCGGCTGCTTTATATAGCGACTCGTTGCATTCTCCCTCAACCCAAATCCTCGGAGCACGCATTTGAGCTAAAACGCTAACGTTAGCTTGCCTTGCGTTGACTGTAGAGTTGTGGGTGATGGTCACGCAGATGTGTCATGAGATTTGAAGCGTTGCTGCCTTTCACAGACACTTTTTCTGCACGTGCTGCAAACAGGATAGCCGTCTTCTATCAACTGTCCCTCGGCATTCTTCAAATATCTAAAAAATGCCCGTACTTCCCACTTTGTCTTCTTTGAGGGATAAAAATGTCCTGAGCGCTGCCGTCTCCTCCTTTGGCCATTATTTCAGCTTTAGCTTCAAGAAAGTTTTGGTTGTAAACAACAAAGCACGCATGTGCCACCGGCAACTTCAGCAGATGATACGGTGGCTGGTAAGGGTCACCGCGCCTACACCGCAGCCACGGTAAACCCACCCAGATAATAGTTTTTTTAAAAACAAGACGGTTATTATTATTGTCAACTTTTTACCGGGGTATACCGCTACACCGGTTACCGTGACAACCCTACTTACACTACATGGTGGAACATGTCATTAGTTATTGTAATTGTTATCAACATTGCATTTTTTACCCATCACTTTTCTCTGCTGGCTGGGTGATTAAAGGGCGGGATGCAAATGTAGAAGCACCCTATTTACACAATCAGTTTTATACATAGAATGATAGCAAAAATGAATACAAAATTTTAAATTGTAATAATAATAATAATAATAGTAAAAACACAAATAATAGTAATAATGAACGACAACAAAAATAAATCTGCCTCACAAAAAACTGTAATCTTAACATAAGTCAATGAATAATATTCATATAAACAGATGTTTTCTATGAATATAAATACTTTTAAGTGTATTTAAAACATGACATTTTCATTCACATCTCTGAAATACACAGGATCACATACAGTCATAGTAATTAGACATCATCTTTTTGATGTTCATTTTTTTTAAAGATTTAACTGTGTTGCGTGCTCTGATTTTGAGTTATTCCGTAGTTTTACTCCTTCTACTGAACAACTCTGACTCCTAACATTTGTTGTGACTTTATGTTTTACATATTGTCCTTCCCCTCTTAGTTCATACTGTGTCATTTTGACCTGGAACAGCTTCTGAACACAATCTGGAATTATTTTATTATAAACTTTAAAAAGTGCTTGTGCTTTTTGTAAATTGACCAGGTCTGTAAATGAGTATATTTAGTTTTACAGAAAGGGGGTGCGTTGGTGTGTGGTACTCAGAGTTATTATTCTTATTGGTCTTTTCTGTAATAAAAACATGGGTTTTGTGTGAGTTTTTTAAGTATTTCCCCAGACCTCCAGTACATCATGTGTGGAAGTACTAATGTTTGGTATAAGAGTAGTAAAGATTTCCCATTTAAGATATATTTAGTTTGATTTAGTACTGCAACAGTTTTAGACATTTTAGTTTTAACATTTTCTGTGTGCAGTTTCCAGCTCAGCCTCTGATCTGTTGTAACATCCAGAAATGTGTTTTCATTTACTCTTTAATTTCTTCTCCATTTATTATTAAATTTGTAAGACTCTTGTTTTTGGTTTCCAAATATAGAGTATTGAGTTTTACTTGGATTTAATGATAATTTATTGCTATCTAACCAGGTCTTTAGTTTTTCTAGTTCTTTTCCAACCGTGTTTAGAAGCTGTCCCAGGTCTTTCCCAGTAATATACACATTTGTATCATCTGCAAAGAGAATGTAATTCAGTTTATTGGTTACTTTAGTGATGTCATTGATGTAAAGTGTAAATAACTTGTTGTTGATTTTACATTGTGGATTTCTGTGTATTATTTTCTGTCTGTTAGGTAACTTTTTCACCAGTTATGTGCTGTTCCTCTTATGCCACATTTATATAATTTGGTTTGCAGGATATTGTGATCTATTGCGTCTAATGCCTTCTTAAGATCTATTTTAGATATTTATTATCGACTGTTTTAGATATTCCCTCTACCATGCTAATAGTTGCCATTGCCGTTGATGTTTTTGTTCTAAATCCATACTGGTGCTCACTTAGTAGATTATATTTTCTATGAAACGATCCAATCTGCTAACAAATGTTTGTTTCCGTTATTTTGGAGAACTGGGATAACAGCTAGATTGGCCAGTAATTGGGTGACCACCTGACTTTAATATTGGTATAACTTTAGTTATTTTTATTTTACTGGGGAAAAGGCCTGTTTTAAATATTTGGTTACAAATGTATGCAAAAAGTTTTGCTATACATTCTGATATGTTTTTTATCAATGACATGTCAAAACACTCAGAATCTTTGGCCTTTTGTCTTTATATTTTTTGACAATGAAATGATTTCATTTTCATCAATGTCCTTAATAAACATAGTATTTTTGTTCGCAGTAATGTGTTCGATAACCTCCATTTTAACTTTAGGTTTTTCTGTTTTATTTGCTAGACTGGTCCCAATATTTACAAAATGATCATTTAGTGCATTTGCAATTTCTCCATGGTTATTAATGAGAGTTACATTTTCACTGGTCAACTTTTTTCCCATCGTTATTAATAAAAATGCTTTTTAATGTTTTCCATCTTCCTTGAGTATTGTTTTTGTTCTGTTGTAATAATTAGTCAAAGTAATCCTTTTTATTTTTTCTCATTGTGCTAGTTAGTTTGTTTTTATATTTCTTGTATCGGTTTTCAGCCTCTTTTATTCTAGTTGTATGAATATTGTATAGTCCGTGCATCCGCGGGATCTTAAAAAGTCTTAAAAGTCTTGAATTTGATTTTGAGACCCCTGCAAATACCATGATAGTGTATTCTGCTTTTTACGGGAATTTTGCAGCCCCTTTGTCATCCATGGCTTGGTATTTTGTTATTGCTTCTGTTTTCTAATTGGACAGTTTTTAATTTATAATTCGAGTATTTTTGCTAAAAGGATTTCGAATGCTTTACTTGGTTCATGCTGTTTAAATGTCTGATTAACCAGCTTTCCAGCTCTCAGAAGCTCTCCCTGTCGTCTGCTCGCCACTCCTCCCAGCAGGAAGCTGTTGAACTGATTGTTGCCGCTCTCACTTCCTCTCAGCCCATAAACCATTTCCTGCATGGCACAGTACAAGCTGTCAGCGGCGCTAAACGCTCCAAACAGCCATTGTTCTCCGGAAATATCCTTCTTTCCCTCTGGAGACAAATTCCCTCTTTGAAGCTGTGTTTATTTATTTTTGTAAGATCAGGGGCCAAGACTCCATCTGTGCTTAACAATGCATATTTAAAGTCCAATTAAACATATTTATTATTTACATCAAATCAAAACATACCAA